CTCCCATCTACGGTAGATTGCAGTTTTGTCAACACTCCCAGCAGGACTCGAACCCCGACAATGCAGCGTATAATCTCAGCACGTTATACGCTCCATCGCCATGGTTCGAGTTCCTTTGTTGTTGCTGATGAGAGCAGTTCGGGCAAGATCGAAACTGTAATCCGCTCTGGATGAGAATACCTTTTGGGAAGCAAGGCTTACACACATAATTGTTGGAATATTCTGCTACCCGTTTTTTTCAAATTGAATAATACAGGATTAATGCAACTATTATAACAATTAGCCATGACTTCTTCATGTTATTAAGGAAACTAAATTTAATGCAGTTCCTATTAACTTTCTATTAGCATCGTCATCAGTAGTGGTGGTGGTAGTGATAGTAGTAGTATTTATTATTATTATTATTACTATTACTATTATTATTATTATTTTATTTTTATTGTAGGTTTTAATCTACTCTATTTGAGTGTAAATAATACGATCAATGGTAGTAGCAACAAGTGGTGTACTTCATCTACAATCTAACTGCTTCGAGAGGCCTGACTAACTCCGTAACCCGGCTCTGGCCGGGTTAGATTCCCGTTGGAGCGCTGATGAGGTACGGGCGAAGGCGAAACTTTGGTCCAGTCTAGTCGATTCGGGATGAGAATGCCTTTTGAGAGGCTGTACTAATTGAAATCTAATGGCGTCATCAGGTCTACCAAAGATCTCGCGCAACTTGTTGTTTATTTGGGCCATTTCAGCAGTTGGGGAGGTTCGGACAAGTCTCTTCTTCCTATTCTACCGTGTCTTGACTAATTTGGGAAATTTTGGTTCAACAGAAGCGTAGTAGTAGTAGTTATTAAATTTCTATTCTTTTTCCAATTCTTTCCAGACACATGCTGCAGTCAGCAGCATGTTCTTTCTCAACTCCTGAGAAAAGTCGGCTCGAGTCCACTTAAATGGGTTTTGTTTGCGCAAATTATCAACAAATAAAGCAAACAAACCAAGTCATCACCAAGCGGCAAGCGACGCCGATTCGAGACGCCACTACCTCCTGGCCCTAGTTACCGACGGATAAGTTAACAGGTGCGCATCTTGATTGCCACGGCGACCAATTACCGACAGCTTTTCGCATTTTGGACCCATTCACACCTCAACGTCTCAGGGACTCTAGCGCCTACTCGCCTCTCATTGGTGGATATTGCATTTTTCCCACTGCCCTCATTGCAGAGTGTGTGCATAGTCCAATTTCTCTTCCCATCCAGACTTTCTCTCTCGCCTGCTCGAGCGCCCATAAATGCTCTGGCCTTCTTCCACCTTTTGCGTCCATACCTTCTATTCACTTTGTGTACCCTGTTCCCTACCATTGTCTCTCGCCTCGCATTCCCAAAAAACCTGCTCCTCTATCCTTTCCAGGCCAACTTTGCCATTCTGTCTTGCTTTTTCTACTCATTTGTGTTGTGATGACAACCGATTGACACGTTAGAAAGTATCATTTGCATTACCAATCGCATTAGCCATTAATCGTCTATGTATACACCATTTATGTATTCATCCATCCGGTGATTGCCTACTCACACGATCGCTTGGTCAGCTCCTCTTCACCTCCCAATTATCCCAATTATCCGTTTCGCCGAAATGTGTATGTTTGCATATACATTTATTTATTCCCACTGTCTCATCATCTGTCGCCTACTTGTCCTCCCACTCCTACGTCGGGCAATCTCACTTCCCAACTTATGCGTTTCCACAAGCCTCCTTCGTCCCCCTCCAGACTGCCTCTTTTCAGAACCAGTCTGAGCCATTTCCTCGCTTGTCCTACAGCCAACTGGCAAGCGCTGCCCCGAGGTCAGCGACTTGTAGAGAGAGAGTTAATTTGGAGACAAAGTGTACCCACGACCGTGTACACCAACATTGGTTGAACGGCCCTATCCGGCCTGTCCGTGTATCCGTCCCATTCGACTCGTCTGCCCGCGCCAGACTGCGAAAAAGATGTCATGTAGCTGCAAAAATGACGACTCAAGTGGTCCCGGTTACGCGGTTACGCGAATATTTGTACACTCTGGCCGGACGTTGACGTGAACACGACGACAACTGGAGCTGGTGCCATTTGAAAAAAGTGAGACACCCTTTTCTGTACCGGTTGCATTAACTTATTAAATTGTTGCTCTATTATTATTGTCTGTATAGGCAATTGCAGGTTGATTGAAAATGCCAGAATTGTCAGAAATGTAACTTTTTTATAGAATATCAAAATACCTGCCAGGCGGCATAAGGTGATGAAGAACTTGTCATTGAATGAGATATATTCACCCTATTTCGTGTAAGGTGATGAAGGACTGGTAGTAGAATTTTCCCACATTGTGGTACTCTCGAAACCCTACTCAATTATGACTATAAGTAACGTTGTCGATTGCAATAGAAAACATACGTTTGCTTCATCGGCACTCCCACCAAAAGAATATGATATAGCAGAGGCCTGACCGTCGTTGAAACTCACTTATGCCCTGTGACTCAAGGCTACTCGTGGCAGTGTTGCCGAGTGGTTAGCGTGTCAAG